CTCCCTGGCGGGCTGCGGGATAAGACGCATGCAAAAACTATCTGCCCTCTCTGTGATTCCGCTCCTTTCGGGCTTAGTCTTTCTGCCGCGGAGCGGCCATTACATCCCGAGTTGGTGGCCCCATAGGAAGACCTGTTGAACAATGGGCCCACAACACGGCACCCATAACTGCATGCGGTTGGGTCCTTCGCCAGGATGACTGTTTTGATGGGGGTCATCCGAAGTGTCTTAGGACAGGTTGCACTTCCACGCCGTCAGAGAGAAGGGCGATGGCGGCAAAACCGACCTTCGACGACACGCCTGTCCTCTCACTTCTTGCCGCCCTTTTTCTTCACGATCTTCTTCACCACTGCCTTCGTCGTCGCCGCCGACGGCGGCGACGTCTTCCGCGGCGCCGCCGGTGTCGCCTTGGGGCCGTCCTTTGCACCCTTCTTGGTGCTGCCAGGGGCTGCCTCGGGCCTGCCCTTTAACCTCAAATGGTACTTGTCCTGGTCACCGTCGACCTCGAATATCTCCGGCAAAGAGAGAAGGAACTTTCTGTAGCTGCCCAGCGCAGGCTTGAACTTGAGAGCCCACTTGTCAGGCACGAACGGGCGCTGGTCAGATGGCAGCCCGGCCTTGATCACCTGGATGGCCTCCTGCCTGAGCTTCTCCTTTGCCTCTGGGGACACGCTTGCATTTTCACATAGCTCTCTGATGGCCTTTGAATGAGCCTTGCGCTTTTCGCTCTTCTTCTCCTTCTTCATCACCTTCGGCTCCTCCTTCCCCGTCTTCTTCTCCTCCTCTGGTGGGCCTTCGCCTCCTTTTTCGGATACCTTAGCGAGTTTGTGCGCGAGCTTCGATGCGGATTTGGTCTTGCCTGCCAGCTTGGCCTGAGTCTTGGACTTTGGGGCTGGCTCCTTCTTCTCCGCAGGCTCCTCGCTCTGCGTTGCCTTCTTCATCGCTTTCGCCCCTGCATCTGGTTTGACCTCTTTCGTCGTGGGCTTCGATGCAGCATCGCCACCTTTCTTCTTGAGTCCACTCTTCTTCGTCTTGGATGGCATGGTGCCGATGAGCAACTCGCTTCGCTCCTTGCAAACTTTAGCCAAAATGGCTTGAGCCAAAATGGCTTGAACCAGGTGGGCTGTGTTGGCCGAGGTGGGCTCTGACAACACACAACGGGTGCCAGCTTCTCGCCGTCACCCCACGCCACCCACTGCCTCACAGCCCTCTACAATATCTTGGAGCAGCTCGACACCGCCTCACGCGTCATACCATACGCTCCACCCCTGCCAAGACAATGCTCGAATCAAAAACCTCCGACGACGACACCGGCCTCCAACCGTTGGAGCAGCTCGACAACCCGCGAAGGCCCTGGCACACCTGTGCTGTCAACCGCAACGAATCGAACACGAGCGGATACACACGCAAGGAACTTCTGCGCGGACCCTGATTGCCCCCAAAAGGAGAACCGACACCTTCCGCTACAGTCATGAGGCACATCCCGGAGGCCTCGCGTGGCAGCCAGGAGCCCAATTGACGTCGGGTTCGGGTCGGGCTTGCGTTGGCCTTGCGTCGGAGCGTCGCCGCGCGAACGTCGCCCCATGTCTTGCGGGCGGGCGTGCGGCCTAGACAAAGACAGGTGCTGCGAGACGCATGCGGGCCGCCACTCTGTTCCCCCTAGCTGCAGGTCGCTCGGAAAGAAGTAGATAAACTACACGAAGTATATTGAGGCGGCTAAAAGTAAATGGGATCCCGGCCCGTCCAGATACCAGGAGACAAACATCCCCCGCCTGGTGTTTGCAGGCGTGGCACGTTAGAATGCCAAGTGCGGCCTTCTGGGGTTCCTGTAAGTCTGCTACTGTTAACTTCTTTACTGCAGCCAACAAGTTGGTGGCGACGGTGCCACCCTTACATGCCCTGGATGCGACATGCTGGAATTGCTGATCTTCATTCTGGCTACGACGCGGTGCGCTATCGAGATTTAGAAATGGGATTTGCATAATCATCGCTCGCCAACGAAACCTTACTTTCCGCATTGTTTAATCAGGCGGTGGCGTCGTTAACAACTTCTCCATGGAGCTACCTAAACGAAAGCTGAGAAAATAGGAGTAAAGCCACCCACCCCCTCTCACCACACCAAATCTCGTGCACACTCTTACGAGGCTCCCGGTACCCCGAACCATCCCTGGGGTTCCTCAAGGCCAGTCAAGGCTTCCAAGACGGAGGAAGGCCACCAAGGCCGCCAACATGCACCCAGCAGCCCCCAAGGAGACGCCACGTGTCGCCACAAAAAAGCTTCCAAGACATCAAACAGAAGGCCTGGAGGCCTTGCTGGAGGCCCTAGAGCATTAACCTTAAGTCGGGCATGTCCTCCTACAGGCAGATCTCCGAGGAAAGATAACAACATATTCAACAACTACTCTAATTGGTCAAAAGTAATAGAAACATCGCCCCCAAACTATTTCGTAATTATTCCCAACCATCATGTGGTGTTGGGTCCCCGTTTTGAAGAGACAGCGCCCCGCGTCCCACCTCCTTCCTTCCTCCTCCTCCCCCTCCTCCCTCCTCCCCCTCCTTGCCTCTGCTCTCGGCACACCTCTCACACGTTTCGTAGCCCCATAGGGAGCTCCACCGAAGGCCCCAGTGGTTGCTCTCGCATGCGGTTCCCCCACCCAGGGCAGCGTTTCGTGGCCCCATAGGGAGCTCCACCCAAGGCCCCAGTGGCTGCTCTCGCATGCGGTTCCCCCACCTAGGGCAGCGTTTCGTGGCCCCATAGGGAGCTCCACCGAAGGCCCCCGTGGCTGCTCTCGCATGCGGTTCCCCCACCAAGGACAGCGCTTCGTGGCCCTATAGGGAGCTCCACCGAAGGCCCCAGTGGCTGCTCTCGCATGCGGTTCCCCCACCCAGGGCAACGTTTCGTGTGCCCCTATAGGGAGCTCCACCGAAGGCCCCAGTGGCTGCTCTCATGCGGTTGCGGTCCCATAGGGAGCTCCACCGAAGGCCCATCGCATGCGGTTCCCCCACCCAGGGCAACGTTTCGTGGCCCCATAGGGAGCTCCATCGAAGGCCCCAGTGGCTGCTCTCGCATGCGGTTTCCCACCAGGGAAGCGCTTCGTGGCCCCATAGGGAGGTCCACCGAAGGCCCCAGTGGCTGCTCTCGCATGCGGTTCCCCCACCCAGGGCAACGTTTCGTGGCTCCATAGGGAGCTCCACCGGAGGCCCCAGTGGCTGCTCTCGCATGCGGTTCCCCCACCCAGGACAGCGTTTCGTGGCCCTATAGGAAGCTCCACCGAAGGCCCCAGTGGCTGCTCTCGCATGCGGTTCCCCCACTCAGGGCAGCGATTCGTGGCACCATGGGAAGCTCCACCGAAGGCCCCAGTGGCTGCTCTCGCATGCGTCTCCCCCACCCAGGGCAACTTTTCGTGGCCCCATAGGGAGCTCCACCGAAGGCCCCAGTGGCTGCTCTCGCATGCGGTTCCCCCGCCCAGGGCAGCGTTTCGTGGCCCCATAGGGAGCTCCACCGAAGGCATCAGTGGCGCAGTTCGCATGCGGTTCCCCCATCCAGGGCATCGTGGCCCCATAGGGGCTCCACCGAAGGTTCCAGTGGCGCAGTTCGCATGCGGTTCCCGTACCCAGGGCAGCGTTTCGTGGCCCCATAGGGGGCTCCACCGAAGGCCCCAGTGGCGCAGTTCGCACGCGGTTCCCCTACCCAGGGCAGCGTGTCGTGGCCCCACGGGGAGCTGCACCGAAGGCCCCAGTGGCGCAGTTCGCATGCGGTTCCCCCACCCAGGGCAGCGTTTCGTGGCCCCATAGGGGGCTCCACCGAAGGCCCCCGTGGCGCAGTTCGCATGCGGTTCCCCCACCCAGGGCAGCGTTTCGTGTCCCCATAGGAGGCTCTACCGAAGGCCCAAATGGCGCAGTTCGCATGCGGCTCCCCAGCCCAGGGCAGCGTTTCGTGGCCCCATACGGAGCTCCACCGAAGGCCCGCCCCAGTGGCGCAGTTCGCATGCGGTTCCCCCACCCAAGGCAGCGCTTCGTGGCCCCATAGGGAGCCCCACCGAAAGCGGCACCCGCAACGCGTTACGAACAATTGCTTATGGTTGGGTCCTTCGCCAGGTTTTTTTGTGGATATTCCTCCTGTAGAGGGACACGCCCGATTTATCATTAAACATCCACGTGCCATTCTGAAGGTTCTTCAATCTTTTGCGCTTCCTGGGCCTCTAGGCTCAAACTGGCTCAAAGAGTGCCCTGGAAGAGCCAACACAAAAGGCAAACGGCGCCCAGGGATGGCCTCCAACACTTCCAGCACGATGCAGGACAGCTCCAAGAAGGGCTCCACGACAGGCCACGAAAGCCCAATCTGCTCCCAAGGCAGCCCGTGTCATCATTTTTTTGTTTTCTCTCTCTCTCTCTCTCCCCCTTTTTCCTCCCTCTTTCACTCTCTCTCTCTCTCTCCCTTTTACCTCTCTCGCTCTCGCTCCCTAAGACAGCCGAATATCTTCATTTTTTGTGTTTTCTCTCTCTCTCTCTCTCTCTTTTTTTTTTTTTTTTCTCTCTCTCTCTCTCTCTCTCTCTCTCCCTTTCTCCACTTCCGCTTTGAAAAACCGCGCCGACCAGACGTGGCAATGAAGGACGATATGCCTCCTAAAGAGAATACGATCGAAATCGAAAAAAGGCGGGTGTCGGAGGTCTGGGGCAACTCTACATGTTGAGTGGCGCGTGCAACGAAGAACGACCAACATTTGACTTATGTGGCGATTCGTCCTCGCCCACGACCCGCCCGCGACCCAATCGGCGACCCACTCGGAGATCCACTCAACGACCCACCCGACCGTAATGGACCGCGCGGCCCGCCTGCATCGCTCGGCGCCCAAGGGGGGCTGTTTGGGACCGACGCGGGAAATTATCGTTACCATACTCGCTGGGCGGCCACCGCGCGACCCACCCGCGCTACAACCATGACCCGGCCACCATGCTATCCCTCCATCGTTATCGGGGTTTCTATTTTCTCAGCACACCCCCGCGCAGGGCTTCCTCTCACGGGCTTCCTCTCACCCGCTCCCCTTCTTGACCTCATCAACACCATCCCCATTATCATTCTCGTCACCATCATCACCGTGACATTCTCATCACCACCATCGTTATCCTCAGCCTGTTCGTCGTTGTCCACACTCAGTCACGCACTCACCATCGTAACGGAAGCCATCATCCATCACCACCGTCCTCTTCATTATCATCACAATCGCTGTCGTCACCAACGTCGTCACCACCGCCATCATCGCACCCAGTTGCCATGTTTTCGCGCATGTCATCACTAGGCGATGTTCTCACACCCGCCATCACCATCATCGGCGTCATCAAAAAAAACTATGATCATCACCAATCATCGCCACACCATGTTTTCGCAGTCGCCACTCGTCTCTTTCTCACACGCGCTCACACATTCATCAGGATGAACATCCGGGCGCATGCCTTGAAGGGTCATCCAAGCATACCGCTTGAGCACCCAAAGGAACAAATCGTGAGGAAACCGCGATCGGGAGCTTTGCCTGAAACTGCATTGCGGGAGCGTTTCAAACGGGAGCCCTTGCCTTATAGGGTCCGCAGGTGATGTTACCAATCCCAACGGGTCCCGCCTGTGAGTGCACAGGAACAGGATCTCAAGCGGAAGCCCCTCCCTATGGGGCCCGCAGGTCACGTTGCGGATCCGAGCAGGTCATCGGCATTCTCTACCACGCGTATCACTCGAGCACTCCAGGGGGGAAAACTGGAGAATGTCCCGAACGGTGGCCCTGTCTTTGGGAGACTGGCGAGGAAAGGTCGCGCGAAAGTCTGCTCCTCATGGGGCCCGCGCTTCATGTTCGAATCCGAGGCGGGTCATCTGAATATTATACCAAGCGTAGCAGTTGAACGCCCGAGGTGGCAAGTCGTGAGGATGCCCGGAGCGGTGGCCTCGTCTGTGAGTGAATGGTGAGGAACTGCGACTAGCTCAAGGCAGCGGGATTGTCCCCAATTTTTTGCTCCCGCGCCCCAGCTGCCCGCGGGGTTGCCCCAGCGGCTT